CTCCAATAGATCTTCTGATTGTTGCATTAAAAGCGGTACTACCCCTGCCGAACCCACGATGGATAGTTTCATTAACCATGATACACCACTGCTCTGATGTTAGAGTACTAGGTCTACACTTTTGGACAATGGTATGGAATGTATCTATTATCTTTTGGACCACCCATTGCGAGACAAACGGGATATAGTAAGCGAGTTTCATTTCCGCAATGGATAATATTTTTAACCTTATTGTTCGAACATACGGGCGCCCTGCCCTAAAACTGATACGCAGATACGAACGTTGCAGTAAGAGGTTGGCTCGGTTCCGGAACCATCTAACCTTTCTCGTACGTTGCATTAAAGCATCTGTGGTTCCCATAGATCTACGTGTCAAACCCCCGATGAACACCATAGGGGCGAGGAAGGCAGCAGAAATGGCATCCCGCCATTTTTTGAAAGAGAGAATATTCCTCTCCAGACGCACCATCGAAACGGCCAGGATGGAATACGACTCCTTAAAGGCCGTTATTGAATCCACTCTGCTCCCTGAGCACAACGATCAAGTGTTGACAGTCATTGAGGACGTCTACCGAGATATTTTTTCTAAATGCAAGACACGACAGCAATCAAAGTTTGACAAGTTCACACAACCGAAGTCGCACAAGTCGGTTACCGCTGTAGCGAATGAGGGGAAGTGGGTGGTTAATCTATCTTCGAGAGCAATCACTGATCCCGAGGAACAGCTACTGAAGAAAGGCCTTGCCTTTGCCGTTGCCCCAAGACGGATACCAGTGTCTGATATAATCGCCAAGGTTGAAACTGCAGTTAAGTGCCTCGATCCGGAGTCCGCTGACTCTGCCCGCAGAGACGTTAACACGATCCTACAGAAGGCACGCCCACCCAAGCCTAACATCACGAGAGAAATGCAGACAGCCCTGAAGACTTTGAAAGCCGATGAAAGCATAAAAATCCTGCCAGCAGACAAGGGCCGGGCCACGGTAATCCTAGATACAACTACATACCATGACAAAATGAGTGACCTACTGAACACTGGCCCGTATCGTAAGCTGAAGAAAGATCCCACAGACAGTATGTACCGAAAACTCACTAGCACATTGCTAGCCCTGAAGAAGAAGAACGCAATGGATGTGTCAACCTATCAGAAATTGAGGCCAACGCAGAAGCAACCACCCAGGATATACGGGTTACCTAAGATCCATAAACCCACAACACCACTACGCCCTATAGTGTCGTGCGTAGGCTCTTTTGCATACCATCTCTCCAAGCACCTAGCAGAGATTTTGTCACCACTCACGGGTGACAGTGAGCATACAGTGCCTAACTCCAGTGGGTTTGCAGAGTACATAGCAGAGCAAACCATCTGTGAGAGTGAAACTATGATATCGTTATCCAATAGATCCTTCTGATTGTTGCATAAAAAGGGTATTAACCCTGCAACCCACAGATGATAGTTTATTACCTGATACACCCACTGCTCTGATGTTAGAGAATAGAGTCTACACTTTTGGACAATGGTATGGAATGTATTTAGTGGGTGCATTATAATGTTACCAGGGTTGGCAATAGGGGATTTTATTTGCATAGAATATCGTTATGGAGTTGGTGTGCGTAGAATAGACCCTGCTGCTACTACTACTACTGCTACTACTACTCAGTACTACTACTGCTGCTGCTACTGCTGTTGTTGTTGCTGCTGCTGCTGCTGCTGCTGTAGCTGCTTCTGCTGTTGCTGCTTTTGCTGTTGCTGCTTCTGCTGTTGCTGCTGCTGCTACTGCTGCTGCTGTTGTTGTTGTTGTTGTTGTTGTTGTTGTTGTTGTTGTTGTTGTTGTTGTTGTTGTTGTTGTTGTTGTTGCTGCTATGGCCAGTGTGCCAGCTGCAACTGCTGCTGCTGTTGCTCACATGTTGTACATGCTCTGGGCATACCTTGATTAGCTTATGGCAGTCTGACAGTGTCAGCTAGGGAGCAGCTCCAGCACCAGTGCTACTTGCATTACCTAGCGTGCTATTAATATCTCCCTTCCTCTCACTGCTCACTCCTCACACACGCACTGGAAAACACACACACTTATACGGCAGTGCTTGGTGCCGGTGCTGCTTACTAGGCTAGGTGGTAGTGGATGTGGATAGCCATGAAAGCACAAGTTCTATCTTTTTATACTTTTTACATGTCTGTAAAGCTGTGTTATCGCAAAAAGATGGTAGTTCAGCCATAACCAGTGGGCGTAGTAAATGTACAGCAGAAGAATATCAGTACGTGAGGTGTAGTTGCACAGCTCAGTTAGTGTGAGAGTGTGCAGGAACGTAACCACAGCACATAACCACAGATACCGGAGCATGACCAGTGCTGTGGAGGAAATCTCGATAGAACAATGGGTGGCATTTATAATGAGAGTAAGTCAGTGTTGTTTGTATAATGTGGGGATGGTACAAACTTTAGATTTTCACACCAGTGGTCGAGTTGAGTTGGGTATTGTAGGCTGCAATATCACTGTAATTATCTTGTGCAGTTAATATCAGTGGTTGGTTACATCATGTGGCTACCTAGAAAATTGGATACTAAGCATAATGCCCTTTGGTGAAGGTACTTATTGCTTGGAAATAGTAAACTAAAGACCTAAATCATAAGGTGGCACTGCATGGGTGAATGCATCAGAGTGATAGTACTAATCTCATGTAAAGTTGTTGTCACAGGTTCTCCCGTTTGACATGATTTTTGTGGCTACTTACAGGACAACATCCAGATCCTGAGGGATTTGTCTCTGCTGCAGATACAGATGCGGGATCTAGATGGCTACAAGGTAACGTTACACTTTAATGATGTCTTGTTTGCATGACAATGATGTCTAACGTGATCATTTTAGTTAGGTAGTGTTTAATTTTAAAGACAGTGACATGGGCAATTGTCAATGGGCAAGGTGCAACGGCTGCTTGTACAATGAAGCGCTGTTTGTAACAAACATTTTGCCAAGTAATTAATACTTCATAGTTCATAACTTTGTTGTTTGTTTGTTTATCCGAAAAAGGGGTCGTGTTAGGTCTTTAAAATACTTATAATTATTGGTGAAGTTCAATTGTTCATAGAAGTGCGCTTGTTTTTTTCATTTAGAATGCAATCCATCCGACTGAATTTATTCTTGTTAGTAAGCACGTGGGTGTAGATGATGTTTATCTCCAATAGATCCTTCTGATTGTTGCATAAAAAGGGTATTAACCCTGCAACCCACAGATGATAGCTTATTACCTGATACACCCACTGCTTTGATGTTATAGAATGGAGTCTACACTTTTGGACAATGTTATATAATGTATTTAGTCGGTGCATTAGAAAGTTTACCAGGGTTGTATTTTATTTTATCATTTTGCACTTGGTGTGCCTAGAAGTGCCAATAGTACGGGCTATTAACAGTCAGTAGAGTTAGGAGACTTGCTTTATTGTATTGTGTGCGCTTGTATTGTCATGCTGGGCAGGAGACACGCTACCAGTTGCTGGTGCTGCGCCCCACTCAGCGAGCTTCGTGGATCGGATATGCAATGGCTTTCCACCTCCTCAAGGACTTCGACATGGCGCTGAAGATTCTCGAGGAATTCCGCAAAACACAGGTGACGGTGAGTATCCAGTTGACGTGGAAATAGAGGCGCATATCCTCCATGACCAGTGGCCTGTTGCTAAAGCATGAATTTTAACTTTTAGCACAGTAAAGGATCCGCTTTCTGTTCAGCCACTGTTTAATTCTCCTCATAACCCCTTTGGTTTGGTCATCCTATTCTTTTATACTGCTCCGTACACTAGCACGTAACCCTAGAACTATCTGTGAATGAGGCATATGTATAGAGAAGTTGGCCCAGGCACCTTGGTGTAGATGATGTTTATCTCCAATAGATCCTTCTGATTGCTGAAACAAAAAAGCGGCAACATACAGATGATAGCTTCTATCCTGATACACCGGCTGCCTGAATGTAGAGATAAAGAGATTGTATATTATACCCACGCTCAATGTCATGCTGAGTACAGTTTAGTTTCTTGGGGGGCTTTCAAAGAGTTATGTTGTTTCTGGCAAGGTGAATGACCACCTGAAATTATTTTTTAAATCCTGGCTTTAAGGACCACAGCGTGATTGCTGCTGCTCTGCCTCATAGCAGTGCTAATGAGGTGATATCACTTGTACGTAGGTGAAGCCGTTTGACTATGAGCACAGTGAGCTGCTGCTGTACACAGCATTTGTGCTGCGAGAGGCAGAGATGTACACAGAACTGCTGAGACATCTCGATACATACGAACACCAGATTGTCGACAAGCTGTTCATTGCAGAAACGCGAGGTAAGTCCGTAGTCGTAATACTCATCTGACTGAGTGTCTTTGCCACTGTGGGATCAAGAAGATGGGAATTGGAAAATCGCAGTTAAATGCATTTAGCAACTGAACTGAAGAAGTGTTGGTAATTGGCTAAGGTAATCACTGCTGGTTATATGGCTATTGTCGTGATTTACCTCGGCTGTTTTCGCAATTACGCCTGCCATTGTCACAGTTGTTTGCTGTTCCAGCCGAGGTCAACCTGTTCATGTGTGACTATGCAGCAACGGAGAAGTACTACCTGGATCTGCTGAATAGGAATCCGGAGAACTGGGCCTACTACAAAGGGCTTGAGAAGGCGCGCAGGGCCAGTGAGTATACCTATGAGTGGCCGTGGCAGGCAAGATGCAGTTTGGTCGTTGCAGGTGAGGTGCAGTTTGGTCGTTGCAGGTGAGGTGCAGTGTGGTCGTTGCAGGTGAGGTGCAGTGTGGTCGTTGCAGGTGAGGTGCAGTGTGGTCGTTGCAGGTGAGGTGCTGTGTGGTCGTTGCAGTGAGGTGCAGTGATGGTCGTTGCAGGTGAGGTGCTGTGTGGTCGTTGCAGGTGAGGTGCAGTGTGGTCGTTGCAGGTGAGGTGCTGTGTGGTCATTGCAGGTGAGGTGCAGTGTGCTCATGGCAACAACATAAGGCTCGTGCATCCTCTCACATGCTGTTCATGCAGTCACAGGGAGTATCAGGAAACTCAGGTTTTCTGTCAATTGGAGATCGGTCGTGGACAGCCGAGGGAGTGCTACCGCTAGTAAATGTTGATGCTTGTTTTATGTGCAATCCCTCGATGAAATGCTGTACTGAGTGCATTGCCAATCAAACTGAAAATTACCAGGATCTAGGTCTGGTCTACATTAGGTTTAGTCAATGTTGAAAACATTCTTGAAAAAGCAGCAGGTCCCTAAGATAAAAATATCTTCAATTTTAATTAAAGCCTCTTTTAATAAAACAACATTGATAAAGGAAATGAGTAGCGATGAACTATGACCAGTAATTGCTATCGAAGACGAAAACATAATGAAAGTTATGACGAAACATTTTGTTAGCCATTGCTATTAGCAGTTGTACAGCAATTGCTCAGACACAATCTTGCATTGCATTACCTGAGTTTTGTGCCTGATGCTCAGAAGCGAACCTACCCGACACTGTGCAGGTACGGAAGAGGAGAGACTAGCTATATATGAGGAGCAGGCCGAGAAATTCCCGAAGGCCCACGCGCCGAAGAGGTTGCCGCTGAATTTCCTCACGGGCGACACGTTCCGGCAGCTGGTGGACACGGTGCTACGCGAATCTCTGCACAAAGGCATTCCTCCGCTTTTCGTCACGCTACGGGCATTATATGAAGACCAATGGAAGGTAGGCTTTAATTTAATACCTCTCATAACCTACTATTACCGTCTCTTTCGTTATAATGTACTACGACAAATCATCTTGAGTATGCTGTGGTATGTTTACAGTACATGTACTAGCTATCAAACTGTGGTGACATCATGTGATAATTTTGTTGGTGACTGCTGTTAACGATTGCGTGTGTCAATATGTTTCTATCTTATTTCTAGGTGGAGGTTATAGAAAATTTAGTAGTAGGATATGTGGATTCTTTACAGTCCTGTGAAAAGTTCAGTCCTCAAGGTATGTGTATTGTCGTCCATTATTGTGAATTATGGTCCTGTTTCTTCTTCTACTTCTACTTCTATACTGGACAGTCCGTAAGGAATAAACGTCCAGAGCTATAGCTAGCCATAGGGTGTGACCTAGCTTGGGTACAGCCAGGTAGTTAGCCTTTTTTAGCCGAATGGCACTGAGGGTGGTCACAGCCAGAGTTTTTTTGCGCCCTCAGTGTTATGGGATTCAGAATGAGAATATGCCAGGGCTTCACGCATTTCCGGGAATATACTTATCATTCTTGAGATTTATGCAATGCTGTTTATGTTCGAACATGCACGGGTATAGTGTACTACCTGATGTTGTTTTCTCTCACACAGATGCAGATGATACAAAGGAGCCACCGTCGGTGCTGTTGTGGGCGTATGGCTTCCTTGCCCAGCATCACGATTTCCTTGGCAACACCACAAAGGGACTAGACTGCATTAACACGGCCCTCGAGCATACACCGACATTGATAGAGCTCTATGTGATCAAAGCAAAGATCTTCAAGGTACGGCATTGCTGCATTCATGATTGCATCAACTCGGTCATTTGGGTTGTCTCGTGCACTTTACCTAGTTTGTATGTTGCAGTTTGTTGCACGTGCACTTTACCTAGTTTGTATGCTGGTGCAATGAGCTAGAAGGTTTAAAATCAATGTTGAAAAATTATTAACTTTGACTGTGTTTGGTGATGAGAATCCAACAACTCTCCTGATTGCTTCTTTCCTGCTGGCCACTGTTATTTACCAATCGTTATTTTATAGGGCTAAAATGCGTTTGTTGTGCAGCACACTGTTTACTGCAAAACTTACTGCACAGTGTGTACCTGTTAGCCTAGCGTACACATTAGTGATCTCCTGTCTAGCATACTAGATTTTATAGACACTACCAAAATGCATTTAATTTAACTCTTGTTCATTCTCTTATGTGGCTCGACTAAGTTACTTTAATCAACAAGGTGTTTCATGTCGTGTTGCTGATGCAAGTAATGAAAGCTCAATTCTATTTCGTCAGCATGCTGGCAATATCTCGGAGGCTGTCAAGTGCTTGGATGAAGCACAGGCACTGGATACAGCCGATAGGTATATCAACTCCAAATGTGCCAAATATATGCTGCGAGCGAACATGACCAAGGAAGCTGAGGAAATGTGTGCCAAGTTCACCCGGGTATTTAGCTGTTGTTCATAATCAGTATAGTTATTTAATATTAGATATATTATATATATACTTATATATACAGGGTTGTAGCAAAGACAATTTTAATGCTGGCTAATATCAATGATTGCATCATATATGCATAAATTATTATAATAGGAACATGCTGCTTAGCCAGCTATACTGCATGTACTGTGTGCTGTACAACGTGATTAGATGATGATTTTACGCATAATATTGTTGAGATTAAACTCCGAGTTGTTTTTTCAATTAATTTTACGTGTATCATGTACTAAGTGATTGGTTTGAGTATTTCTATTATTGGTAGCAATAAGTCGTCTGTTTATTCGCACAGGAGGGCGTGTCTGCGGTTGATAATCTGAACGAAATGCAGTGCATGTGGTTTGAGACGGAGTGCGCTAGAGCCTATCACAGGTCAGGAAAGTGGGGAGAGGCGATCAAGAAATGCCATGAGATTGACCGGGTATGTACACGTTTGTTGAATGTAAGAAGAGCAGGAGTTACAGACCTCAGGCTGGGATGCTTGGGCTGCACAAACATTAATCAATAGGGTCTAGGCTCAGAGCTCTGCCGTTGTAATGGGTGTGTGCAACAGCTTTGGAATTTGAGAATGCTTTCACCTGCATTCAAAGAGTTATCCGTTCCAGAGTAATCCAAGTTTTTCGATGCGGGGCATTACTGTGAAGCATAGTCAATTTGTGACACCTAAGACTTCGTACTGCTTGCTTAAATTTCGGCAGCACTTCACGGAGATAATCGAGGACCAGTTTGACTTCCACACGTACTGCATGCGCAAGATGACGCTACGTACGTACGTGGGCCTCCTGAGGCTGGAGGATGTGCTACGCCAGCACCCGTTTTACTTCCGCGCGGCCAAATGTGCAATTGAAGTCTACCTACGTTTGTACGACAAGCCACTCGCCGACTCTGAGGAGGACCAGCACGATTCATCGGGTATGTGCATGCATGCGCGTGCGTGCGTGTTATTCGTTTGCCGCCTGTGCACAGTTTTTGTCCATGGCTATGCACAGTGGGAATGTGTGTGAGTATGATTGCTGTATAGGTACGTTGTAAAGGTGTGGTTAGATCCCATGCAAAATAACGATGGTTGTATTTTGCTAATGTGAAGATTTTTCTCAGATCTTTGTGGATATTACTTATTCGCTTACTATATCCCGTTTGTCTCGCAATGGGTGGTCCAAAAGATAATAGAAGAACACGACGTTTCGTGCGCTACTGCGAGCAGACGGAGGGGGCAGCCATGGGTAGCCCGGTCTCGGCCGTGGTGGCCAACTTGTACATGGAGAATTTTGAACAGGAAGCTCTACTCACCTGTCCCCCCTCGTGCAAACCGCGGGTATGGAAGAGATACGTTGATGACACGTTCATCATAGTGCCTAATGCAGAAGCGGATAACCTGCTCGAACACATGAACAGCCGCCAACAATCCATCCAGTTCACAGCGGAGGCAGAATGTGAAGGGAAGATAGCTTTCTTGGACACACTAGTGCACAGACAGGACAACGGCGGGCTGTCCACCTCAGTCTACAGGAAGCCCGCTCCCTCACGCACCAAAGCCAAAACATACGCTTTGATTCGCCATCACCCATCTCTGTGAAGAGAGCCTAGTGAAATGTCTTGTTTGACAGAGCGAAACGCATAGTTTCCAGCCCACAACA